ACAAGGATCAGGGGAAGAGATCCTTATATGTTCTTTTATAATTACTTTTTGCAGTAATATGGGATTGATTTCCTATTTTCCTTAAATGAAAGACATTTTCAAAAAAAGCCTCGACTATCAAGACTCCAAGGGTAACAGGGAAATTACACCCTACTTGAGGAAAAAAGGTAAAATCAGTTGTCCACCAACCTGTTTCCTCCTAATGAGTCCTGTAGAAGTCGGGTAAGTTTGGAGTCTCTGTAAGGCACATGTGAAGACCGCTTGCCACGGTCACCCAAAGCACTGATTACATTCCCCAGAGCGAGCTGCAGAAACAGAGAGGGGAGCAAAGCGAAGAAAAAAGTTTCAACAGTTTCAAGGTGCTGCAGCAGTTTACTATGTACAGAATGAAACTAATTTATATACAGAAGGACACAATAAAAAGACAACATATGAACATGTTGCTCACTTAAAAAATGTTCTTTTCTTTATTCCATGACTTTTCTTTTAAATCATTTACCAAATCAGCCCGTCAGTGATTTGTATGTTTTAAATGGTTTTCAGTCTGGTGGAAGCAATTATGGTTTTCATCACCAGGGGATAGGTTTAAAATAAATTACTATTAGATTCAATAAATGTGTACATTTTTTCCTGGTGATCCATTTGTAAAGTTTGATGGTTGTCCCTGCCTTTACCACTAAATGTATTAATTGTGCTCACACATCTCAAATACTCCAGAAATAAAAGTAAATAGAGGAAACCCTGGAATGACAGGGATAGTTACAGGGAACAGGGAATTATTTAAAATACTTAAAAATCTACACTGACGCTGCAACAAAATTTTCACTTAGACTTTCTGCAAGTAACAGATCCAAATCCACTGGTATTGACAGAGCTTCAGACTGAAGCTTGTGTGTGTTGTTGGGTAAAACAGCAGAGATCATGTTAAATGACAAAAGGTTTGCGTTTGTCTTTGTTCTTTTCTAGTTGCATAGTTGATGACCTAATACACTTTGTGTGCCGGATGGACATTTATGAAATTCTGCCACTAGATGGCAGTCAAACTATAGAATATCGGGCTTCTATGCAGAGGAAGGACAAGCTCACCAGTCCACAGTTGATGGAGATGCCCTCTTTGGCGCGATCACCTGTCGCTCCGGTTCTCTTCAGCCTCTCAGAACCGGCCAAGTCCAAAGTGAAACTTGGCGGTCAGCGTCTCATACTCGTCCATCTCAGAGTTTCCGTTGGAGACTCTGTTATCAGTCTCAGTTTCTTGCTGAAGTGACAATGACACACACAGACACTGTTAGTTACACAGCACTGTGCTACCCTTGCAGTACCCTTGTCATTTATCAGAATAATGAGACTGTACTAACATTGTCAGAGGCACAGACGCGAACTTGGCACAGGTGGATGGTGAAGATGGCGTGGGATCGAGAGCTCTGGACGTTCATCTGAGTGCTGGCTGTGGTGCGAGAAAGAGCCCCCAGCTTCAGGCACTGTATCATCTAAACAGGCAGAGAAAAAGCTTTAAATATCAACACACTGGTCAAACTCACTTTGACACAAATACTTTCAGTGTAGGAATGAATATATGAATAATGAATGAATGAAATTGTATTTGTAAAGGCCTTGTGGTAGTAAAGGAGGTGCACATTCAAGAGTGTAGAGCTATTAATATAAACATAAAAAACATCACGTTAAAAACTTAAATGGAGTACGAAAAGAATTGCATTATTATAACTTTAACATCTTTGTTAATTTATCATCAAGATGAAACCAGTGCCGTCTGAGAACCATATCGTCCACTAACAAAGTTAACTAATGAATGATTAAGTTTCTATTAATAGCTGAGATTTAGTATTACAATCGAATGTTATTCCCTCCTATATTTGAAAACTGACAGAAAGTTCTTGTTTATAGATTTGAGCAGCAACAATGTTTTATTCAATTGTCCATCTTTGTGTAGTTATCAGGCACATGTCCACCAAAAGTCTCAAGAACCTATTCAAACTCTACTGCATTAACAACGGCAGTCACAACGGGCGAGATGTTTGTTAAACACACGCTGCTTTACCTCAGCCTCGGAGGACACGGTCCGTGTGGTCACTCCTACTGTGTAGATTCCCCCGGTGGCGTCTTCGTGGATCTTGATGTGAGATTTCTGCTTCATGTCTCGTGTGGAGTCAAACAAGTCCAGAACTTCCTCATTATAAAGCTACAGGGAGCCGAAACACAAATGCACACAAAATATTAACCGGGCAGATTTAAATCATGGATTAAATCATAACAATTCACACAATATCTGAAGAAGAGAAGCAACACCAACAACTCCAGCTAATTTTTGACTAGAAAGGATTGGCGAAATTAAAAGTGGACACCTAGAAATGCAGCGATGCCACGCTCATGTCTACTTTGAAAAGAGAACATACAATACTAACCCCGCTGTATGAGGGGGCATACAGAAACATGCCCCTGCATAGTGTAAAAAATACAATAATGCTAGTATGACAAAGCATGCTATGTAAACCTCTGTATTGTTAATGCAATAATCCTTAATCCCTTTAAGTTTCCTTTTAAAAACACCTGAAACTTTGTGATTTAATTGTATTTGCATATTTACTACTACAAAGGGCACTGTGCTTTACTCTATCGTCTCTGACCGACATTCAGTTCCTTATTTTTAGGAGAACATTAACTGTAAATAAAAATATTACCCGAAGAACAAAGTCTCCCAGTGCACTGATGCAGAACGTAACAAAAAAATTCAGGTAACTAATCTATGATAGATAGTAGAGCTAAAAATTGTGTTAAACTGAAGTGTTTGAGTAAATCCAAGCTATCGGCCAATCATCGGAGCCTTCTCCCTGCTAAATAAAGAATCTGTAAAACCTGCAGTGACATCTCATTTTCTTTTTTATTATTTATTCAAAAAAGTCTTTGCATAGAAAATCTGGAAAATAATAAAAACTTTAAAGAATGTTTATATAAAATGAACTATATGAACAGTTAGAAATAGTAATAACTGTTGGAAACTATCACTATCTGCCCAGTGTTGATTTCTGTGCATTCCATCTTTCACAAATATTCCTCCTCTCCAGTTCTTCTCAAGTAATGTGAACATTGTCACAGTCTGATGGACAGGCACAACTGTCTACTCACATCATTCCTGTTAACTCTTCCTGTCCTCACTGAGACACCACCATCAACCCCCAACACCTCCTAACCCCCTGATGACAGCTGCTGCAGTTCAATTGTTAGGGTGGACATTTTCAAACGATGGAGCGCTGGTTACAAAGCTTGTTAAATGGAACCGTGTCAACAATTTCAGCATGACCTATGACATCTCTGTAAAGCCTGTCCTAATACTAGTGAAAGAAGGATTAATATTCTTTGTCTTATTTAATTTATATTTGAGGTAAAATAAGAAAACATTATTTATGATGCAGTGAAGCTGTGTGCACCTCGAGGAATTGGGCGTAATCTTAAACTCCGGCACGGGCGTCCCTGCTCCTGGGCGGCCTGTCGGCGCTCCTCGATGCCCTTGAAGAGGGGGTGGACGGGCGCGGGATGATACCAAGCTCCTCATCAACGATGTTCACGTCAAAGCCCGTACCCATGGTGTAGGTTCCCTGAACCCGTCTGGATAGGGAGGTGAGAAAAATATAATACATATAGATACAAAAGAACCAAAAAAAAGTTGTTAATGAAGGAATTCTACCGATTATACACATCATAGTCTGCTTACAGGTCTTGGAGAGTACTGCATGTATGAAAAAAGTTGATTACAGTCTTTTTTGGCGTCAGAGGGAGCTTCACCATAAATTGCCTCAAGTGATGTCACTTGAGTCAGCGTCAGTTGGGGCTCAGGACTACAAGTTCTCTAAAAATCTAGTTGTGGAGTTAGAAAGAAGTTATTATTCCTCATCCCTACTTAAGGCTTCATTAGCCACTGCTAGCATAACACACCCGCATCTCAAACCAAACAGTCAGTCGTAGATGTGTATTGTGGGTAAAGAAGGCGTTTGGTGTCGAGTAGGAAGACTGTGTGGAATAAAAAAGACATTATCTCGGTCAACTATGAGATCTGCAATATTATAGAGGTGCAATGCTGAATCGGTGGAGTACTCTGTTAAAAGGGATTCGGGATGACTTTCCAGACAAGAAAAAGGTTTCAGATCTCAACTTAAGACTTATTATTCTAACTTGATAAAAGTATTCTTAAAAAAGGTAAAAACAGTTGGTAGCAGTATTTTCAAACATACAACAAAAAGTACGTGGACTCCCGAACATTACATAAATGTCGAACATCTCAGTCCTAAACCATAGGCATTAATCTGCAGCAGTGTCCACGCCTCTGGTTTCAGGCTTTCCACCAGATGTTGGAACCTGACAGCAGGGATTTGGCCACTGAGTTTGGCGATATGCCCTGGCTCACAGTCAGCGTTCCAGTTCATCCCAAAGGTGTTAAATGGGGTTGAGGTCAGGCTCTGTGCAGGCCATTCAAGTTCCTTCACACAAAGCTGGGGAAACCATTTCTGAATTGATCTGGCCTTGCGCACACCTAGTCATGCCAAAACAAGACGACGGCCTTCCTCAAACTTGTCAGAGAGTTAGAAGAAAACCATTGTCTAAAAATCATTGTATGCAGTAGCATTAACACTTCACTCACCAAGAACTAAGGGCCCCAAACCATAAAAAGAGCCAGTGATGAAACATAAATGTTCACATACATTTTGACATGTAGTGTATTTTGCCTCTGCTCTCTAAAGTGCACTTGTAGGGTATACCAGCTTTTGAAAAGATCTATACAAATAAAGAGTGCATCAAGTTCAATGGGATTTTTTCACTTTCTAGAATTTTTCCACATCCCTTAGGCACAGACATGAACTCATTGCATTTACAGTGATTGGACAAGTTTTTCCAGTCAAGAAAAAAGGTGACTTCCGAGGCTATTGTCAGTAGAAAGCTTGGTAACTATTTACTTACTAGTTTTCCTTGCTCTACCCTTTTAAAATGTATTGTTTGTTTTTTTAGAACAACAAACAGACACGCTAACATATAGCATGTTAAATTTAGCATTGCAAAAAAATTAAACAGAATTTTACCAACTGGTATCTCCTTTTCTTCTTTAAAATTATACACATCTTTCGATAAGGGAACATTTACTCTCTACTCTCACATCTTTACTGTGTTTATATCTGCAACCCAACCGGGCAGAGTTCTTGTGATGCAGCCGAGTGGGTCGATCTAAATCTAGATTAGCCTGTAAAGCCACAGAGGCAAACAGGTCTGACCAGGTCAAGCCACCGCGGCGTGGGTGAATGTGCTTTCAGAAGTAGGCCAGCAGTCACAGAAGCAGTAACTGGGGAGATATGTGTTCATAGGACACACATTAAAAATGTATGCTGTCTAAAAGGTGTGGGTGCACTTGACTTCACTTGGAATCGTGCGAGTGCCGTACAGAAGGAGCTCGGTCGCCACAGCAACCACAGCACTAGGGGAGGAGGGGAGCTATGAGGCCCAAACTTGCATGTTATTCCATGTGGCGAACTTGGTGAAGCAAACGAAGACAGAGGGAGTAGTAGCGGAGTCAAGAAGAAAAAGAGGGGAGAGTAGGACTGCAGCTAATGATAATTTTTCAGTACCATTAATCTGCATATTGTTATCTAAATTAATCGTTGATGTCTGAAATTTAAAAATGCCCATGAATTTCCCAAAGGTCAAGATGACATAGTCAACTTATTTTTCCCTAATAAGCAGAACCTACCCAATGTTTTTCCACATACCTTGACAACTGATGAAGTACCCCAAGGGGGGCAAGTACGGCTGGTTGCGATTTACTGCTCTATTGTAATTCTACAACTGCTACTTCTGTGTACTCCCATTGCGTGTTTATTCCTGGACGGGGATCCACCTTTTTGGTCTTCATGAGGCCTCGTTTCCTTTCAATGCTGGAGTTGTTTAAATAAAAAATAAAATAAATCATAAAATAAAATCGCCATTTTGTCATACATATTGAAATCAGAAA